ATCCTCAGTACACATGCAAATGTAGCTACCAGGTCACACGCAAAAGCAATTACCTTCGACACCTGACTGGCAGCTGTAGGGGGAGGATTTCTACAAATAAGGTCTATGTCTGCATTTGTAAAAAGTATTTCGCCGATCTTGATGCTCATTTGACTCATATTCGAGTCTGCGGCAAGAAGAAGGCCGGACGCCCACCAAACAGTTCTCGCAGCTCTCACGGCTGAACCTTGCGCTCTCCGGGGCTGTTCAGAGATGGCAGTGCTGACTGCGGCCGGGCATACGTAACCAACCATCAACGACATTCGAATAACGACCATCTTCAAATCAACAAAGCCAGTCTCACCAATTTCCCACTTTGTTTCAATTTTCTTCATTCAAATCCCGGCAGCTTTGCAGCACCATGTCACATTTTCATTTGCCTCTGTGCCAAGTCAGATATGAATAGCTAGCATTTAAATACACCCTTCTCTAATTACTTCGTTAGGTATTCGTGTCATCACCAGAAACGGGCATTATGTATTTATCGCGCCTCAGATTTATGAACATTTACTCTTATCCTGAGCCATGTTATCTTGCGGCAATCATCGATTCACTCATCTCGACGCGCGCAACTCGAGCTCAGTCGACACGCGTGGAGGCCTCCTCCCACTAACCTGCGTTAGCGAAACACGGGTGGATCAGCATTTAGTGATACAGCAGGTGCAGCAAAAATAAGTCTTAAGAAGAGTTGAGACGTGGAAGCAAATGAAGCCGAGAATGCGAAGCAGAAAGTACGAAGACACACTCAGTCATGTCGATGCGTTTTGTTGAATTAGTCAAGAGCATGAAGGTTTGTGGTCTCTTTATATCAGAGCCATTGATTTCATGATGTGTTAATTTCCTGTCCTGGTCACATTCGCCCTAGGATGCGAACCACACGCGGGCCAAGGCGGCCGAGACCAGGCATTCGATACAACCAGAAAATAGGCATTCACGTCAGCCATCCTCATGACACAATGCGTCGGGCCGCTAAGATTGAGGCCAATTTCTGCCTAATTTTCGGTGAGCTCCAGACGTATCATTGGTTTCGAAGACCCTTGTTGAGGCTCATTTCTAACAGGCCGTCAAGCATTCTAAGCATCCCTGTGCATCAATCATCGCTTAGATCTGACTCTTATGGATTGTACCCGTCACGCTGCAGAGCGTTCGGTATTTCTTTCGGCTTAGTTCAGGGCACCCTCCCGATCGGACATTCATGTGCTCCAATAAATCAACCCCGACCATGGGATCGAAAGATTCGAATGTGCCTCACCATGGCCCGTAGGGCTGGGACAGAAAATATGAAGGCTTGCGCTAGGCCCATCAACATGGGAACACAGGACTCTTCTCGGCCCACCAAACTCAATTGATTGAGAGGTGATTTGTTTCCCTGCCTCTTGATTTCAGCTGATATGATGAGGCTTAACTGCCTGGATGTGTCCTCGTGGGGTGCAAAGTCATAATTTTTTCACGTACGCTCGCGGCAAGTTCACGGCCTTGTGACACAACTGCAAATCGCATAAAAGCTGCCTTTATGAATGGATTATAATGTTCTTGATGTCATCTCTTACATGTCATATCTACTTAGAGAAATCACTGAAGCATCTTCTCCGCCTTTTTCTTCGTGAGTACTCAGATCGTTTACATCAAGAATTGTGTCTATTTCAATGAAGATCGGTCACCAATCATTACCTCTTTGCAGTTTCGTAGCATCTGGAACTCCAAACCGACAGGATGTGCCATACTAGCACCGTCCACTCATACGCACCTCGAAACCAATCGTTTGGTTTTACAGAGGATCTCATCGGAAACAAATACCGAATCCAAAGCCGTAAAGTTACAGACGACTGCCTCGACGTCTACATCGTTACCGATATAGATGGCAGATATTTTGAGGCTCAGGCGTTTTCACCCGTCGCCGAAATGCCTCGGGAGCGTGAAGGCCTTCGTAATGCACGACGGAGACGGATGAAACGCATAGCCCGGTCTAGCAACTTTGCTGGAGAGTTCGAGCATGGAGGACGCCGATTCTATGTATCGGACGTTCGAAGGAACGATAAGGAGTGGGCAGATCTGCAGGCTCAGACTGGTGGGCGCATCAGGGATGAGAATATGCCTCGGCTCACCGGAAACAGTATGGAGAGCGCCTGCGCTGCAATGAGTCATTGTGGTTTAGCGCCAATAATGACACCGAAACATAATCAAAGATCAACTTATGCGGATGTCGCGGCTAGTAGTCAGAACTATGACGTGGGCACCAATTCAGTTGTTGGGAGAAGGACGATTACTTTCAGTCTAGGGGGTTCGAAAAGATCTGCTGAGCAGTAATTGTTGAGTAATGATAACCGGTCAGATCCTTCATTCCTTCAACAGGAAAAATGGCTTGAAGGATTCTCAGGAGCAACTCAAGGAGAAGTCTGGACCTCAAGGATGCGTCGGGAGATTACCACCAATAATATCCTGACTCGGGAAGGTTGGCTGAAGCGTAAGCTTGCTAGCTACATGAACTCTCCGTTTGCCGGTTGGTAAAGTCTGATTGCATACGCAGTGTTATTAACTAGTATCCACTTGTTGAAAGTCTCATTTAACTACATGATTATGTATTCCTAAACCTTATCTCAACTCTTGGGACGAGACAGTCATTATGTCCGAAGTAGCACGTGCAGGAATGGAATAGAACAAATATTTACTAGCAAACTACCGAGCCAACCCAATCACCAAACTCAAATCGCCCGACGCGACGAGAAGCCTATTACATCAATCCATCAGCTAAACACCAACACCAAGGCGCACCGCTAGGCTGAAAGAACAAGGATTCAAAGAGCAGGAATAAGCGAAAGCGAACGCTCAGCAAGAACAACCACAAGCCCTGCATCCCTTCCCACAGCTAATGTCGTCGGCAACTCTGCAATCAGCCCTAGCATCACAAGTCTTCCACGACCCGTAACCACGGTTCCGAGCAGTCCAGCACCACCGTCCATCTCCATCACAAGCTCTGTAACAGTAGCCCCTAGAACATCCGTATTCGCCGGGGTCGACGTCCCAGCACTTTCCCCAGCCATGCTTCCACCACCAGTGTTCAGCAGTGAGGGGTGCGCTGGTGTTGCTATTAGCATCCTCTGCAGCGGCTGCGGCCGCGGCATAGTTGGGGCGAGTTCCGACAGAGCCCTCGGGTCGAGGGTTCGGGCCAAGGGGATGCTCCTTGCACTTTCGGATCTGAGAGGGGTCTACGCCCTTTTCGTCCATAGAGCCGGCGGTATAAGACATGACTCCGAGCTGTCCGCACTCATCCGCTGCGTTAGCGGGGGCGACTCCGGCGAGGATGGGAGTGGCAAAGAGGAGCAGGGTAGTGGCCACAGTGGTGAGCTTCATCTTCTTTTTCGGGAAATTGGAGAAACAAAGAAGTCAGATGGGCGTGCTGTTGTCAGGATTGAGTTTTCGGGGAATGCGGGTACGAGAGCCCAGCCACGTGGATAAAGTTCAGATTAACGGGAATGACGATGCTTGTTTGACAAAACTATGGTGGTTTGTTGTGTAGTGATGTGTGGTGATATGTAACGGTGATATTGCTTGGATGAGGGTAAGGTTTGAATGATTTGTTTTCATCGTCCACCAAGCCGGGAGGGCATTGCCAGCTTTATACTTGGACGTTCCCACCATCTCTTCCGCCCCAACGAACCATGACCGCATTCCCTAGCTTCCCGTCCTTGTTTTTCGATGAAGCTTGATTCTCCGCGAACTCCGTGAAAATCACCCGTGATAAGGAAGTTTAGCATAAGCGAACACGAATTCGGAAGGGCGGGCGTGGGGTGATGTTCCACTCACACGGATTGCTTCCTCCTGCCGGGCCGAGGCCTCTTTCACGGCTGACTCCTTCGGTTGGCGATAAACATTCCAAATCCGTCTGCTCAGCAGGAATACTCACGTCACCAGACGGCGAGGATGGCGATTAGCTTTGAAGTATAGAAGGCTGGATTTTAGGAAGTAACGGAGCTTTTCTGACTCGGATCTAAGGACCGACTCCTGATTCCCGATGGGGAAATCACTCACTCGGTAGAACTTTGAAGATTTACTCGGGACTCGGAAACTATCATCGGGATTTACGCTCCGGTAATCTGGTAAATGATCTTGTGATCAATAGCAGCCGCAATAATATGACATCAGAAGGGGCGCTGCGTAATTTTCGAAGCTTTGATAGCACCCGGAGATCTTTTGCCAGGGCAGTGCCTCGCTTGGTTCAAGTAATCAACCTTGCAGGCTATTATAGCGCACCTCGATATTCATCTGAGAACGCCACGACTGATACTGGTCATGGGAGAGGAAAAGAGAAAGGACTTGAGTCAATTGACTAGCAACTTGGAACATATGTGTTGAATGAACTCGTTTTCGTAGGCGCCAACACCTTTCTCCAAATTCACTCATGTTTACATCTTCACCTATCAAATCTGGGACGCACGTTGAAAGTAACAATTTCGATCTTTTACCCCAAGCCACCCATGAATCACAGGACTTCCTTTCATAGCTCTCTTGCCAGAACTCCGACATGAATGCTGGACATCCCACAGTGAGCGTCCCTCCCATCCGTGTCCCTTCATGTTGTGGACCATAAACTTCGGCTTAGCACGGAGCAAATTAGCCTGCACGTAAGGCTTCGGCACTCATGTGTATCTCAACGATAACCAACTAGACCCTCAAAGTCCGTGAATGCAACTTAATGCAAGATTCGTTTTGAGCTAGATCTCAAGACGAACTCACCCGAAGGTTCCAGCTAAAGTCAATCAAGAGACATGCTCAGCTGCCAACTGCTGAGAGCGTGCCGCAGTACATTGACATCAGTATCATGGCAAGCTTATCAAAGTTCCATCCATGGATACTAATAGGGAGACTAAAGGTGTCGTACTTCTACAAAACCTTTACTCCGTACTTTGCAGCACCTATGAGTCGATTTGATCTTCGACTATATATGACTATTCCAGCTGCATCTAGTGCTCGCAAAAATTGAAATCATTCGAGCCAACACGATGGTTTGTGTTATCCCCAACTGTTGTTCTCTCCTTCATGACCTCCAATCTCATCTCTTTGGCTTTCTTGAGACCAAACGGAATTTCGAGGTTCTCAAATACCATGTCGATAATCTCAGGAGGCATCGGTCCCGTAGTCACCTCGTCTCTAAACCAGTGTTTCTGCTGCGGTGGCACGTTGGCGGTGCTAATGATGGGGACGTCTGGGTCTACAAGGAACAGCGCTAGGATCTTGCGATGGCCTGACTTTGTCTTGTCGACGAGCTCAAAGGGGGCTACGCAGTGCTGATAAACATTCGGGAAAGCAATGAGGCGATCTTCGCGAGTGAGTACACTGCCGAGGTCCTGAATAGTGTTGCCCGAGGGGTCGATGCTAAAGGTCCTTCCGATAGAGTAGAAGTCGCTCTGCTCGTACTGGAGTTCCGACATGAGATCTTCCCTGTTGGACTTGGTTCGGAAGGCGAGTCGGCTCTCCGTAATATTTTCATTGTCGTAGTAATACAGGGCCGTGGCGCAGATGTGCTCATTTAGTAGGCCCTCGATGTGCCAAGAGCCACCGTCGTAAGTCGGCTTCTCTGGAGTGAGATGGATATTTGCAAGCTTCACGATGACTTGAATCCGCTCAGCATTATCGAAAAACCCATTTTGCAACCTGACATCTTCGCCAGTAATGGGCATTCGTGTGTAGGGAGGAATATTCGGGCGTGAGAGAGGATGAGTTGCGTTGTACCAGATCTTGTCTCTGCGCCAAGTCAGGGATTCAGGTTCGTCGTCGCTATCTTCATAGTCGTCATTGTACTCGTCCTCTTCGCGGGGCTGCTCATCCGACTCCTGGGGGCGGGATTCAGGGCGGCACCAGTAAGGACCTTTGTTGCAGATCTCGGGGGTAGTGCAACACCTCCCAACCTTGGGCATCAACAGGCGTTGGACTTCGAACTCCTCGGGCCATCGGTGAACGACATCCCAGAGGGGCACGACCTTACCCAGCACTTTTTCGATCACCGAATACAGATCCGCATGCTTGGTGGGATGTAGATTGTTGATGTAACTTGTAATTCGAGGTTTGTCATCGTCGAGCTCGACCTCGCAAGGAAGCCACTGAAACTTGGTAGACCAGCATAGGTCCACATCTTCGTCAGGAGTCGGGATGACGTCTCCTCTGCCGCAGTACTTCATTGTGTCCGCCAATGGGATCCGTTTGTCAGATAGGATGCGGGTCGTGCCGTAGGCAAGCGGCCAAAGCGAAGGGTGAACAAGGTCAAGAACCTTCTCATCGCTACCGGGGTGCCAATCCTTGTGTGCATCCGGGACATCCTCAAGCATGGCCACAGCCTTCTTCAGCTCTTCCTTGATTTCCGGCGTCAGAGCATTGTCGGACTTGATCACAGCGGCCGAGTAATCAAAGACCGGAATGATCCCTGTGGCTTCGTACAGCTTGGCCTTTTGTCGGAGCTCCTCGAGAGACTAGAATGATGTCAGCTGGGCGGTCTTGTTGAGTTGGAGGGCGAGGCATGAGACGAACCCATTCGAACATGTCGTCATCAAAGTGAGCATATTTCAGGCCCACTGAAGCCCAGTCAACAGCCATGACTTCGGCTTTCCATTTAGCAGCGATGTCATCGTTGAAGACTTTCACGTGCCAATCCGGTTTGTTGGTGATTTGCTCGATGAACCACATGATGGCCAGCTCCGAGTACGTCAATGTGATGGCGGTCCAATCGAGCACCGCGCTGGGAAACATTTTCTCGGGCATAGCATTGACACCCAAACCAAATCCTGGTCGTACGAGCTTGTTCAGCTCCCCGTCGTCCTTGATTTGAAGTCAGTGTTGGCCGCCCTGAAGCGCATTGGATGGCGAACTCACAAAGGTGTGGAAACCCTCATTGAGATCTCCCTTATTGAGCACGGATCGGATCGAGTCTTCTTCCACATTCTTTCCCAAGTTCTCGGCGATCCACTGCATTGCCATTGGAATGGTCGGCGTTTTCTGCGAGCCTTGCTGCTCGGCCCAGTGACGCAGAACGAGTCTGTTTCGGGCGGTCAATGGTGTTTTCGACATGTGGCCAGACGCTCGTTGAGCACGTGTCAATTAAGGGTGGTGGAGAGATCGGCGTTGATAGACAGGCGATGGTGATCTATGAGTATTGTGCAGTCTTTGTAGTGGTGCAACTGGAATTTCTCTCGTGTTTGTATCGAGAGGATTGCTAGAAAGAATTGTTAGGGAAGCCGCAAGGTTCTTGGAGTCAAATTTAGGCACGCAGGCTACCGCGCTATTTTCAGTAGCTCCCCAAGCCAATCGAGCATGGCGTCAGGCGGTAAGCATGGCTAATTCTTAACGCGAAATTGTCGCGAGGTCATGTGGATTTTGGACCCTCATTGCTGCAGTCTTGGCTGGCTGTTGCCTAGCGCTGCCTGTTTTCACGTTGTTGGTTTAAGACGGATGCAGGAAACCCCTGAAACAAAGACTGTGGCAAACGAGGTCATTCTGATTTGTTACTTTAGATGGAGGAAATAACTAGATAATTAAGTGTAATGTACTAAGATACCAAGAAATACCTTGATGCGAAAGCAAATCTTGTGATCATTATTGTCTAGCCGATGACAAGTCTGACTTACCCGGGGGCGTTAGTCAGCCACGTCAAGCACTAAACTCCCCCTACTCACGTAGGGGGCGAAAATACTGGGTTTCCACTACAGAAACTGGTTTCTACTAAGGTTATCATTAATAACTCGTTAACCCTAGCCCTAAAATTATAGTATTATAGTTTATAATTAAGCTTTAAAAATCACAAAAATTCCTATTATAGTAGTTTTATTATATTAAGTATACTACTATATATATAAACGTTTTTCGTTATTAGAGAAAATATATCTTTCTTTTTATATAGAACTATAACCCTAACCCTAAGTATATATACTATAAACTTTTAAAGAGATTTTTATACTATATAAAACTACTTTTATATTATTATATAGTATAGTAAATTAGATATATATAGTATTAATAATAGGTTTTCTCTAAGAATTTATTTTTTCTAAGAAATTCTAAAGAAAAATTAAATTCCTAGAAAACCTAAGAAATCTAATATAATAATACTATATTAAATTAGTATTAAACTATATAAACTAGTATAATATATAATAATTCTAATAAAAAATCTTTTTAAATATCTACTTATTTAGAATTAGGGTTAGGGTTATAAATCCTTTATAATTAAGGTCTATATAAACTAATTCTATAAATATTTAAAGAACTATTATATATATAAATATTATACTTATATAGGAATTTTTACGATTTTTTAAGGTTAATTTTAAGCTATAAAAAGCGTTTTTTAGGCTTAGGGCTATAGAGTTATTAGTGATATTAGGGGTGGAAACTAGTTCTTTGCATGGAAACCCAGTATTTTCGCCCCCTACGTGAGTAGGGGGTTCTGCGCAAGCGCAAAAACCCCCGGGTAAGCATCAAAGCGATTGCACAACATTTTTGTATCACAATCGCGCTCAGCCCACACTGATCCTAGCCTTACATTCCTCGAGATGTCCTCGGCCAGCATGTTTATGGATCAGGTCGATGATCCAGGTTTGGTCAATGCATCAGAACGCCAATCAGAACAGGCGAAATCGTCTGATGCTGGGTAACACTGGTGATGGCTCAGGACTTCGGGGCTTTGATGAGGTCAATCGCCAGATTATCCCAGATCGCATAGCCCCCATTCGGCGTGGGTATGTATTCCAGCTTGACAGAAAGTTTTGCTGTTTTGGCAGTAACCTCAATAGACATGGTTTGCCACTCTTCGAAAGTGAATCCAGGACTGAACTCAGCCATCTGCCTCTTGTAGACTTCTCCCGAGTCAGCAGAGGCTTCAAGAGTCATGAGGCGACCACTCCTCCAAACATTTCCCATCATGTAGCGGAGCGAAATCCGATAAGTTGCACCGATCGCAGCGTTGACAGACGTCGTCAGCGACGTTCTCGACTCTAACTTAAGCGCCGTGGGGTTGGTGTTTCCAGGCACGAAGGAGGATTCTGCTCCCTTAGAGCCAGTCCAGAGCTGGAGGTCGGAATCACTCTTGAACGAGAACGAGGCCAGCTTGGTGGTGCTTGAATCGGTAGGAGGCGTGAACACGCGAGGATCCCGACGATAGAAGTTGGCCCTGGTGTTGCTGCCGCAGAGCTCGGTTTTGGATCCTGCACACGGCGAAGAGCATTCCGACTCAGCAACGCGCTTGGTCGGTGCAGCGTGGTGACAGTAGCATCTGTTTGACTCGAACGTGGCGAAATAGGCTGATGTCTTGCAGTACTGTGTAGCACAGAGTTCCGCAGTCATAGCCTCATTCTTGTAAGAGCCGATTTGAGATGGGATCATTGCCGAGCCTTCAACAAGGGTTGTGACGAAGCAGCCTACATATAAGGTGTTGGCAAGTTTGGCAGGCTGGGGGCCGCTGGAGGGATTGCTGCGAGGGACGCATTTTGCGGAAACCAGTGGAAGTAGAAGAAGACCAAGGAGTGTGTCGCGCAGACTAAGCCGCGGAGAAGTTGGGACGGACATGGCTGGAAGGAATGAAGATCGGAAAAGACTGTGAAAGGCGCGTGGATGGAAGAGCAATCGCTTCAGTCTTCATGACTGGTGTTGAGTTGCTTTTTGTATTTTGAAGGTATCGCATTGAATATTAACAGAGACGGAGACATCTCTGAATTGGTCGCAGCATCTCAACTTGGCTATTGGAATTTTTGAGTAGTGGCGCGAAGCTGAACAGCTGGTGTCTTGACTCGTCTTTCTAAATTCTACCAACTCTTCCCCTGTAACCTCAAGGGGTTAACCCCCGCCACAGTACGCTAATCATACCACATGGGAATTTCCACGAAAACTTTCAATTAAGCTTAGCCAGCATGCTTATTGAGTCATGGCTTGGAATCACAGCAGTCGGAAGTCGATAGTTTATCCAAGACAACACACGTTCAATTGCCGGTGTATTCTTTTGGTCAAGCATCACAGAAACGAGGCAATACTTGTTCAGACAACGGCCCAGATAAGCCTCAGGGCGCACCATCAAAGTTCCGGAAGCATGAACTCGCCATTTTACTTCGGAGGCCATTGATAGCGCTAACCATGAACCTCCAAGCGGTCGCACGACTCAACCCCTAACCTGCCCATCTCTGCTCCGGCAGTGAGAGCAAGGTTGAGGAAACCATTCACAAAAGCCTCATTGACGCACCAATCATTGCAGTCCGAACTCTTTGATTTAAGTATTAGACATATTTGACCAAATCAAGTACTCCCATCCATGCAAATATTGTAACAAGAGGAAAACATCCTATTCTCATGTCTTGCCATCGAGCCATCCACAGACTCTTAGTTGGCAGCGCCGTTGACGGCACCGTACTGGATGCAGTACTCCTCCCACTCGTCACCGCCAATGTGCTTGGCGGGGGAGTTGCAGGTGGCGACCTGGGCGTCGTCGTCCTTGACACCCTGAGAAGAATGAGTTAGCTTCTGAAGTGATCTCTGGTTGGAATGTTTTAGTGATGGCTTACGAGGTAGCAGTCGGGGCAAGTGTCCCAGACGTCGTTGCCGGTGTGGCGCTCCTTGTAGGCACCGCAGGCAGCCTCGGTGGCGGCGACGTTCTTGGGGTCAGAGTCCTTAAGGCCCGAAGAGATACACCAGGCAGCGGTGTGGAGGTTGGCAACAGCACTGAGAAGCGTTAGAAGATGTATTCCAACTTGTAGTGAGGTGGTAGTCTTACCCAGTGGCGCAGGCAACAGCGGCAACGAGGATGGTAGAGAACTGCATTTTGATGGATTGGGTTGGGTTGGTATTAAGTAGTAACCTGAAGAGACTGTAGAAAGTTGGTTTAAAGAGTGTGAGTTGTTTGGATTAAAGATTGAAGTGTGAGTGAGTGGATGGTGATGAGGATGAAGAGAAGAACGCTGCTAGAGAGGGAAAATCCGTGTCTATTTATCTCTCGAGAAGACGCATCTCCTGATGTCGATATGGGGTTTCCGGCGCTCCTTGACCAAGGCCTGTCGGGCACTGAGATGCATGCTCCGCTTGATGCTGACGACGCGGAGGCTCAGCTTCGAACATTCCACCGATGGATCGTGGATCGTGAAGTAACATCGCGGCCCACAAGGCTCTGCCAAGGTGCTTTGCATGACTAGAGATCTTCTAGGGAGTGAGCGGGAAGACTCCACAAGACGTCCGTGCCTCGGGCACAACAACCCCTATGAGCAATCCCACATAGCGAGAGTCCATACCTCCGGTACTATCATTCATGCCCTCGAATTATGATAGGGATAACTCCTCGGTTCGATTCCGACATCGCGGGGAGTGTTGGTCTAGCAGCCTCAAATCGCCGCTAGTCAACATTCAATGAGGGATGTAATCAATGGCCGAAGTTGTGTCTTTCGATATCACGAGGGTTCATGGCTTAAAATCCAGGCCCTCGTAAGAAGACATGAAAGAACAACATGAAGGCACAGTTGTATCCAAGTGAGGCAGTTGAGCATTCAACAACCACGTGCCAGGAGATGTCGGTCCTTAATCCAGGTCATACCACATTCACAGCGTTACAGCCAGTCATAAGTTCATCCAAACATCCAGCACAGCCGCACTCAACGGGATAAACAACGGTAAAGTGGGAGTTATGTATAATCCTCCGAGCTATGTGTGGAATCTGTGGGGGTCATCCGAACAATTCATTCAAATGTAGTAATGTCCGAAGGCTTGCACAAGCCCTACAGTCTACAGAACGACCAATGCTTCCTTCCCGCGGTACGGTTAAAAACATGCTCAAATTTTGGCATGGCCAGCTGTTTAACAAGCTTCCCACTAACCGCGGGAACTATATTTAGTCATGCAAGGCATTCCCTCACGTCACCCCCGGAAGGCGGGGACCGCAGGACCCAGAGAGTGCTCCCTCCTTCCCCTTTATTTCACGTCCGAGCGACCGGGTGCCGGATGCCGAGAACATCGCAGCGGAAGAGGTCCGATGGGAGGCGGGTCTCCTCGGAGGTGTCTGTGCTTCACGGCATGTGGGAGAGCAAACAGCACAGCTTTCAAGGCACAGGAGCTGCGAAGCGAGATTAGGGCGCAATGCATCCCCGCGAACACGTCAAAAAAAGGCAGGTCTTGTCTAGGGCTGCGCAACCAACAACGATGAGCCCTTCGGCAGAGTTGCCCTCTTGGCATCACGATGTTATCGTCTGATAACTCGGCAAGATCTTCCCGGGCGACTGCTGACTTTGAACGTTCGACGCAGTGTGATGATGCAGTCAGCCTCACTGCAACTCACAATTTACCCTTCCGAACATCCTGACCTGCTCCGTCCGGTCCGGTTGCGCCGGGTTTGTTTGGGTCCACTCGGAGAGCATGCCGGTACGGGATCACCGTTGAAAGACTTGCCCCTTTAGGAAGCCCCTGATCTCGAGTTGATTATAAGGTAGAAACACTGCCCATTGTGATTCACACCGCCATCAAAATCATCGTTTTTGTGACAGGAAATTAAAGTCGTAGAACTGGATCATCACTACTAACAAGAGCGTTTGGCCGCCAGTTGAATTATCAGCCCTTTGAATGCCAACGTCGTCCCGGGATCACTGTTGCCGTTTAAAACCACTTCATGAGAAACGAACTTCTCGTTTTGTTCTCGAAACCCACAATGATAGTGAAAGTTTGTGGATTTACCTGTACAATCCACGCTATGAGCAGGTTCGCGATCATATCATCATGACCGGTGGACATTTCAATGGGGAATGATGAAGTGGCTCAGTCGTCGCGACGTGGGTCCTATGGGGGTCATTGGGCTGTGATCAAAACTTGGCGTTGTGTCCACTTTGTGAACAAAACTTGACATGGAGTTTAGCGGCACACTAGGACTCGGCTTCACCGTGAAACCGAACCATGATCTTTTGGGCAGGTGTTCAAACCTCAGGCCACTTGATGTTGATGCGCGTCACTTGATGCGCGTCACTAATCTTTCATTGAGCAGGTTACAGCGACAGGCAGAACTACATGACCTTCAGGTGCTCCCTTGAGAGGCTTCAGCACCTCTGCGAGTCTCTGCGAAGCCTCTATCTTAAGAGCGTGTGCAAGAAACCCCGCCATCCTCTGTAAATCAAAAGAAAGGGCTCTCCACTGTGCAACACGGCCATCAATCGACACTCTCGCTCCATGAGTCTTTCCTAACCAAGCGGCGCCGCAAGCCGCTTGCCCTCAGTTCCGTATACGCCTCTTCCTCTGGTATGCGGACAAAGACGCCCTCCCGGACCACGAGACGCGGTGCTGTTTTCTGCGAGCCAGACGTAGCTGAGGATTTGAACACGGCTAGAGAGCGCTGGAGAGCCTCCTTTGCGTAAACAACAAATCCGTCGCTGCCCAAGCTGGACGTGGGCTTCGGGGTCCCTCTGACCATATGCTCGACCTCCTCGTCGGTGGACATTCTCGCTTTGTGAAGGAGATCTGCAAGCTCGGCGCTCTCAGATATCTGTGCGATAGCATGCCAGGAGTTACCTGGCAGACTGTAGCACATCGGCCGGTAAAGCCACACCGCCGCAGCGAAGGTGGCTAGGAAAGCGGTTAGAATGCCCACAACAGCCCAGTATCCTTTGTAGTGCTCCGGGATCTGCGCCAGTTCGAATGCCATTATTTCTGCGACAGCAGGCTCGTCCCCGTCAAGCTCGACAGATGAGTAACTGCTCAGCTTGTCGTAATATACAGACCGCTCGAGTGTGAAGTACAATGCCTGCAGGGCTCTTGCGGGTGAGCCAGTGGCTTTCAGGGTATCGTCATAGAGTTGAGCGTACAGATCATCGGGCGTGACAAAAGATGGCTCAAACGTATGCTGACAGGAAGAGCAAAGTAGCATCTGCACCCCCTGCGACCTGCTAAAGACGCTGCCGAGGAATTCGTTCATCATTCGGCCTGTTGCGTACTTCGTCAACGTACCATTTCGAGCCTCGCCGATGCTCGATCTCAGTCGTTGTTGGTCAATATACAGAGTCCCGCCCCGTTCGTATGGCCGTAACGATAAGGAATAATTCGTGACAGCCTTGAGTTGCTTGCGCACCGACTCGGTGGTGAAAGCCGCCGAGTCCACCGTCCAGCCGTAAGTTGGCTCGGCTCTGGCCGTTCGGCTGCTCAACGATTGCAACCTCGAAGCATGTATGTCTAGTTGTCGGATCGAGTCTCTTTCGCTGTGTTGAAAGTCTTTAGCAAGTGTGACATAAGCCTAAGGACACTGCAATTTGTGAGGAACTCACATTTTGGCCTGCGCACACAGCGTCATATTTAACTTTATAGGATGCGACAAGTAACTCACAATTGAGTTTTCTAGCGTCACATTAAAGGCGTAACTTATCCATGGACCATTTGCTGTAGAATTCAGCATCTCCACTGTCGATGGAGTGTAGAGTTCGAAGTCTCTAAACCCCAGGATACCATTCCCAGTCGCATTCCAGAGAAGCCTGATGTCATCTGTTCTGTTGTGTTTGTATAGAGACCACTCAGAGCTCGTAAGAACACCGTCAAATGTGTGATTCTGACATATCTGCCAAATGCGATCCGGCGAACCGTATGGTACAGGACATCCGAAGGTAAATCGATCCTTTTCTGACCATTCCAAGCCCGCAGCAGCCGCTGCAGGCCTGTCTAGCTGTAAGACACCACATACACCAACGTTGACTTCGGAATCAATCATTTTGATCTCGCAAAAGGTAAGGTTGCTGATAACCGGCCTCACGCAAACGACGCGTGAGTCGCTGACACGCACCATGCCACTGAATGTGGAAACCGATTCCCTTGTTTCTGTCGATGCAAAGGGAAGAAATGCTCGGATAGTCGGACCCGTGTCATCTATTCCGTCGCCAACAAGTGGAGGCTCTGAGTGCTCAGCGAACGTTTCAGCGAAGCGTGGTCTTTGTCCCCAATAGCTATCTGGCTGGCTCATCAGATCCCCACTTCCTCTGCTGAATTCTTTGTAAAGTCTGATGGAATATGGGTTCGGAATAGATCGAGCGAACGAGGTAATCTCCCCTTGCTGGAGATCGGAAACAAGAAGCGTCGATATGAATTGTACGGCGAACGTTGTTAGAATCAGAAGAATGACTATCAAGCGGACAACTATGTCAAGTCTGTAAGACCTTAGTGCCAGATGTCCCAGGGAAAGGGGGCCGCTGCCGGAAAATCTGGCGGTGGAAACTTGGGGGATGGCGTGCGCATGAACACCGCGTCGCTCAACCGCGACTGAGGCGATCAGTGCCGTGGCAGTGGCAGCAAGAGTGCCGACAGCGGTACGGATGACGACCGCAGCGAGGGTGACGCTAGGCTGAAGCCGGTTTGCGAGCACCCAGGCACGCCAGCGATCGTTGTCCTGCGGAGTCCACCAAAGCCAGGTGATGAAAGCGAAGCTGGCTGCGATGGAGATGAAAGAGATGAAGATGCCAGCTTTAACTAGAAAGTCTAAGCTCTTGGGCTTTTCCGTAGATGATATCGGCTTCTCCTCGATTGCCTTATCGAGAGATCGGTGAAGTGGCAACTGTTGCTCAGCATGGCTTTCGCTAGGCCTTCCGGTAAGTTGGGGAGTCTCTTCAACATCCGCGGTGATGTTTGAGGGTATCTCCTGGCTTGAAGGTTGCTGCATGATGGAAGCGTTCTTGTGGCTAAGAGAACCTTGGCTTTGAGCTAGGATAAGTATTCTTAAAAGCGGAATAAATGTTTTTGAATAAGTTGGAACACCGTCAAGAAGGGATCAGATGTACGTTCTGCGGGACGCAAAACACTTCATCGTGAGCAAGAAGATAAGCCACACAATGTTGTCTCTTTTTTGGCACCTAATTCCGTGGGGAGCCTGTGTCTTAAGTACGAGCTCGCAAAATTGCCAAGACCGTATTCTCGGGCAGGTCTCGGGAAAGACTCACCCAAAAGCTTGCATGCTTTCAATCAGATTGAATAGTGACATAAGGGAGCAGCGTGAAAAGATTTAGCGTGACCTTGAACTTCCTAATACGCCCGGCGTCCTTCACACTCATTGGTTTGCCACTTCGAGATCTGGGTAAGACAACATTGTACGGTTGTCTGACATTGCAGCTAGTTTCGCAAAAAGACCTCCGCATTTCATAGAGCCCGGCATGATAGCTGCGTCATATTTTAATTTGTGAAGTAACCAAATTCTGAAAATAATCATACAGAGTTGTTAGCGTCCGTTAAAATCGCATCAATCACAATTTTGGAAGGGCACCACATATGATGTGTTTAGTGAAAGCCGCTGGCTTTTGCAGCGTATGTCAGTGCAAGGTGCCAATTGAGCCATTCACCTTTTGCAAACTGGATGACAGCCTCGTAGATCTTAGCTTCTGCCCTTCGAAAGCGCACCTAAACCACTCTCTGTGATTCGCGGGCTATGCCCCGTTCCAAGGCCTGGGCTGAGACAGAGTAGCTGCAAAAGGTGATGTCTGTGACCGTTGTCTACACTCTTAACTCTTCCCAGACAATATCACCTCAAGAAACGTCATCAAGTCGACTTTGAGTAGTAATAGTCGATTGGATTGGAGATTAGGGTTTTAGAGGCTTGTTGGTGCATGAGATGAATGAGGTCCCAAGGTGATAATAATGCACACTTGCCATCTCAAACTAACGTCCCTAATTAGCGCCGTCAATTATTTCTGATAATTGGTCTGTTTGCATGTCAAGTCCATCACGTAGCACAGAAAGTAATGGGGATGTGTCGGTCAAGTCTGACAATCAAACTCGCACGGATCGGAAGCCCATCCGACTTTGAAAAGGACAAAATCCACAATAAAAATATTTCCCAAAGTGGAGATGTTCGGCGATTAGATCATTGATGGATGGATAAGATAATTATTCACGGGGAAAACGGTCAAGTCCAATTGACGATTTCCACAGTGCATATGCAAATGCATCTTGTGCTCATTCAATTGTCGGGATGTCACCCGACAGTTATTTGTGAATGCAGCTGTATTGTTTCGTTGGGCCAATCAATCTGAATTGCTTTCCAAGCCGGTTCACCAACCGTCAAGAGCCTAAACTAGGGCGATGCAGCACGGTGAGCCTCCAACACAAATTCCATCTGATAACGGTCTCGAATCTGGGGACCCCGCCGCGGTTGCCGAAAGTAAAAAGTACCGAGGTCACGGAAACGGTGGGAGGGTCAATTTCCCGCTGCCGCTGCATCCCATTGCATCCCGTCCGCTGCACTACTATGAACGATGGAAGGACGGCAGACGCCGCGGCACATCGGTAAAGACGGAGGGCGCCGCTGCAGCTGCGGGCTTGTAAGTTGTGTCACCTGTGCCGTCAGTGGTGTGCTCCTGCCGAAACTCTCTTCTAAACCCAGCTCTCGCCCAGCCTCCCGCGTGCATCTTTACCGACACGGCGACACCTGCTGGCTGGTCACCCCCCGTCGAAGCCCAGTCAATCAGCATCCACCTCGGCGCATGAACATGGCTAATTGAACAACGGTTGAATTCCTTTCTGCAGCAAAGCTTTGTTTTCTTAGGTCCACTCTAGAAAAAAGGGCAGCTGTCTCTCCTTCTCTTTTCAACGACAGAACTCCCACCGGCGACAACGTCTTCCCCCAGAATTGCGTCAATTTTCGGCCTCACACCGACGACCTCCACACCTTACGTCGTGTGCTTGCTTCCCAAAGCCATCGATATCCATCGAAACGTCGAACGAGAGCCCACAATCCCTCCTCGTCTTCCGATCCTCGGGCCAAAGCTTTTTTACCACCGACACCGAGCTCCAAAAGCTTTCCACAAACCCTGGAAGCATCCCAGCATTGAGCTCTTTTTTTCTTTCCTTCTCTCCTCTTTTCTCCCTCAACCTTCAATCCTCACACACACCACCACACAGCAAGAGTGACACAAAGGCGTCTGCCGTCGACGGCCATCACCACCGCAACCATGTCGACAGAAACAGAAACCGCAGACCAGGCGCCCGTCGTCTCCGACCTCCCCTCCGGCGACCCGATCGTCCCTCCTCCCGCGCCGGCCGCCGCATCCTCAAAACAGCCTCAACCGCGCCCGCCCCAGCTGCCCCTGCGCGTCCTCCTCGCCCTCTCCCCCTCCAACGTCGACGCCTTCGTCGCCCACCTCACCCGCTGCTTCGCGACCCCCTCCGGCATCGACGCCGTCCTCTGCTTCCTCTGCTACACCTCCCGCTTCTCCGCCTCCGCCCTCGAGTCCCTCTACACCTCCTCCCTGCGCCGCTCCGCCCGCCGCCTCGTCTCCCTCGCCTTCTCCCTCCCCAAGGACGCCACCATCCTCCTCTCCACCGCGCCCCCGTCCTCCCCCGCCGCCTCCCTCGCCCAGCAGACCGCCGGCCACCTCCGCGCCCTCGCGACCCTCACCTCCGAGGCCCGCACAATCACCCGCCTCTGGGCCCTGCTGCCTATGTACCTCTGGCTCCGCCGCCTCATGAAGACGTCCTTCACCACAAAGACCGCAGACGAGAAGGCCAAAGACGAGGCCTCCGGCGCCGCCCTCGACCGCCTCATCTCCTGGTTCCAGGTCACCGTCTGCATCCTCCTCCAGTCCCTCGAGAGCGCCTCCTACCTCGCCTCCAAGGGCGTCCTGCCCATGTCCCCCGCGCGCCAGGGCTTCGCCGCCCGCTGGAGCGTGCGCTTCTGGTCCTGCTACGTCGGCAGCGAGCTCGGCCGCCTGGCGGTCGAGTACCTGCGCCGCAGGAAGGCCCTGCGCGAGGGCAAGGTCGACGTCGCGAGCGCCGAGTACCAGGACGAGCTCGGCGTGTGGTCGCGCACCCTCGCGAGGCAGGCCGCGTGGTTCCCGCTCACGGTGCATTGGAGCATGGACAAGGGCTTCGTGCCGGAGATGGGCATCGGGCTGCTGGGGAGCATCCCCGGTATTGTGCAGATGCGGCAGCTGTGGAAGGAGACTGCGAACGCGTAGGAGGAGGATAAAAGGACCAGAAAAGGGGATGATACCGAGAAAGAGGAGGTCACTTAGACGGGATATTTGGGGGAAAGGTACATTACAAGAATGATAGACGAGGCCATGCGGGTATGTGGCCATGCAGTGACTTTAATTTTCTTACCATTTAGATATCATCCGCGCGGTGCCGCCAGAACACCGCCCGCCGGAAGTAAATACGAGTTCTCAGATATGTTCATGACATTTTCTCTTCCTTCTTTCCTACCCAACACCACGCTATGCTCTTCCCCTTCTCCAACACCCACGCGCCCGCTCACATGGGCATTCTCCTCACCTCCTCCATCGTCCAATACCGCCTCATGTTCTCCGCGCCCAGCGTCTTGACCTCCTGGTCCAGGTGCGTCCACAGCACCTCGCCCCAGCTGTCCATCTTCTCCCGCAGCACGCCCAGCTCCAGCTCCGTCTCGCGCGCGCGGCACGCCTTCAAGTAGGCCTCGAACTGGTCCATGCCCTTGTGGATTGCCCGGTGCTGCTGCAGCAGCGCGTCCGCGTTGCGCCCCGCGCGGAACTCGGGCATGCGCCGTGCCAGCATCGGGAACACGAAGCGCTCCTCGATCCCGTGGTGCGCCGTCAGGTGCTGCGCGAACTGGAGCCCCGTGTCGATGAATTGTTTGAGGGACATGTTGCGCGGGCGCCGGCCCGAGGTTGCGGCGTCATGGAGGATTGTCCATTGTGCGCGGAAGTGGTTGTGCTGGGTAGCATTGTGGTCAGCGCATGTCTGTGACAGGACGAGGATGTAATTCGGTGAAGGAAAGAAAGTTGGTGATGGCGGGGGTCGACGGTGGTGGGGTACCACGAAGCTCCAAACAAAGGCAACGGAAAGGATCTGTGCGGGTTTTCGCTTTCGACTTACAAAGTAATCCATCTTCTCCGCCATCTGGTTGTACACTCTAAATTCGGCCGGCGACAACGGGGGCAGCGCAGGCTGCGCAGGCTCTGCCGGCGCGGCGGCGGGAGTCTCTTCGGCCTTTGGTGTAACAGTGGCAGCAGCCTCTTGAGGCTGTTGCTCCGCGGCGCTCGACGACATTGTGAAGTACGACTTGCGAATATCTGGAATCAACCTAGACGGCGGCCACGATTTGCGTAGAGCAGAGCAGAGTTGTCCGGGGTTGCTGTTGTAGCCAAGGTTGGGATGAACTATGCGACGAGTATTCGACAAAATCCTCTTGGACAGGGCAGCAGCCGCTTTCATGTCTCGTTGGATGGAAAAAGTCTAAGAGAAAGAATGGCAACATAAGAAGAGACGCGCCCGCCTCCAACTTTTTAACAGCGACCCGAAGAAAGACGAACCCTTACCTTTGCCCCCGGTTCGCCCGCGCGGCGGGTATGCTAAGCTGTTTCCAGAAATGGTCGATCCCTCTCGGACGACGAAGAGCAGCCGTCAGATCGGACAATTGTCACTGCTTTGGACCCTGGAGGGGAGGGGCTGCCAGGAAGTACACCGCGCGGGTGGTAAGACCCTAGACGCGCGGGCTAAAATGTGGCGTTGGGACGAATTGGAGCGGTCAGATTTGTCACTCATGAGCTTTGCCGTATTGAACATTCACCCAGTCTTAGCTAGATCCAATATCTAAACGTCAAAAGACGGCGATTCTATCATTTCGTACTCACGCTGTCCAAAAATCCAGCCTTTCCCTTCTCTCTCTTTTTCCTTGCTCCATCGAAGCCTGGA